GGGTGGGGTGGGGGGGGACAGTAATTTCACATCCTGGCATATTCTATGGGGCACCGGAGTTATTTCGGGAGGATGGGGTGCATACGTCAGACTCAGGTGCTGCCATATTTTTGGCTGATATAAAAAAGGGCATTGGGAGATGTCTGGGAACCCGGTTGGGTGTGGGGAGGAGGTAGCCAAGCTAATGTCTGGCACCTCCTTGTGGAGGATGTTCAGTGCAGGTATTCCATAAATTAAGGCACAAAAGGATGGATAAATGGCTTGGAAAAGGAATTAAGGAGAGGTACTTGATAATTGAGCAAGCCAGGGGAAGTTGGGGACTCCTCTGATTGGTACAGCTGGGAGCCAACCCCCCATCATTATAGTCCACCTTAACCCCTCCTATGAGGGGGGGGGGTCCTGGCAAGGGAATTGCTGGAGGGACCTAGATGAAAAGGGGAGGGGAGCTGGTGGAAGCCCCCCCTAGAATTGGAGGGTCCGGGCAGTGGATCTGCTGGAGGGACAAACGGAAAGGGGTGGGGTGGGGTGCTGAAAAAAGCACTCATACCCTCCCCCCACTGAATTGTGGGGGTTTTCACCTGCACTGCACATTTTATCCACTGGGTTAGCCCCAGACATCTAATAATAAAGTTGCGGCCTGATTAAACCCATATCTAATGTCTCCTGTCGTTCTTTCGGCATAGCCAACCACTCTGTATTTCCTTACGTGGAATTTCAGTAATTCTATGGAGTTTTGAAAACATTTTCTCTGAGACTAATTTGAAAGGATAATGTGAAAAGATGTGAAAAATATAATAAAAGGATTGTATTTATACCTTTTATAGTAGCAGCCCCTTTCCAAAGCACGTCATAAAATCAGAACAAGTGAAGTAAGTCCAGCTAAAAATTTGCCTTTAAGTTGGATTCACAGGCCCACAAGGACTCCAAGCTGCTTAATTAATAGGATATTACATTTCCCTTGGGCTCATATTTTTAGAAAGCTCTATTTGCCTGAAAGCTACGATTAATTTCTTCCCTATTATTGTACATTTGCTGCAATTGTAAACATTTACCATCTAGCCAAAAATAAAATGAACTATCATGACATAAGAACAGCAAGTGAAGCTTACTTTCTAACTTTAGAGTCTGCCTTTCAATATTTTTCCTCTCTTCAAAGGGAGAGGAAAAATCTCTTCTAATTAAGAACAGTTGAATCCTCTTATGATTGGCATATCACAGTAGAAACAAATGTGACAAATGATTGTCCTACTTTTTTATTTAGATTTTTAATATATGCTTTCATTGACATCCTCTGGGATCATTTACAATATTAAAAACAAGAACAAAAAGTCAACTTAAAAGCAGAACACCCCACATGAAAACAAATCCCAAACCCCTAACTCACACCACATATTCAGAAAAAGCTTCAGCAAATAAATAGATCCTGCAACACGTCCAAATCACAAAGAGTGAGAGAGAGAAAAAAGCAGTTCTTCCTAAGTCTAATTGAGGAAGCCCATTCCCGAGATGAGGATTCTCCAATGTTCCTCTGCTGTTTTACCCCATAAACATCAAATCTGGGAATTAGTAGCTGCAGTTTCCCAGCTGCTCTTCCAAGCTGACAGAACAGAGGCACTCTGGACCCAACCCAGGAGCTAACAGCAATACACAGGCTTAGTGTATATTATGAAGAGATGACAGGAAGGACTAATTATTAGAACGCTGGCCTGGGACTGGCTGAGACATGGATTTCCTATGTGACCTCAGGCAAGTCATAATCTATACTATGCTTCAGATCCCAATCTATAAAATGGAGATAATAGGATTGTTGTGAGGATAAAATCCATTAATGCCTGGGAGATGTTCAGATACTAGTGATGAAGGACCTCAATAGATAGCGACTGCTTAGTTGAGGTTTTAAAACAGTTTGTTATTCATCTGATTCTCACAACCAAGCTCTCAAACTTTTTCTACACCAGACTGCTCACGTGTATGCCCTGATTAGAGAAGATTTTTTATTTTAATTTAAAGTTGGAAGGTAACTGGATAAACTGACTTACGGAGTCCTATGCTATAACTGATCCCCTCTTCATTATACAAGAGAATGAAACACTGAAAAGAGGATGGATATAAGCCGCAGGCTGCCACTTTATATCAAGTGATGGCAGCAACTCCCTCTCCAAAACTACCAGGCATTATGAGTCTACTGCAGGGAAAACCAGCCTCAAGTCAAACTAGCAATGGGAAAGGAGGTTGGCTGACCTTAGCCTAAACCCATAAATCTGGTCTACGGGATTCAACTGAATGCAACCACTCTCCCACTGTGAGGATGAAAGAGGATACAGACAAGGGGTGCTTCAGCCTGGGCTAGACTTAGGACTTGCCCTGCTCGGCAAACCAGCAGAGTCAATGCCAGAAACCTCCCGGGTCCCATGCTCATGGTTACCTCGGAAAACAGCTGCTTTAAAAATCCCTTACCTGCACTGGACACTATCTGCAAGTGTTTTACTTAGCTTCACTTCTCTGATTATTTGGATATTCTTACCTGCTCTAGCAGATTTTGAAGCTTAGTTACAGCAATTTAATAGTGTTCTTATATTTGATCCACACTAGCAAATCTGTCTTTCTGTGTATCCTTGTTATAGCTGTCAACTTCCTCTCATTCCCTTTGGATCCAGTGACAAGCTGGTTGTGGGTTGTGTTGCTACTATAAAATTATTCTCCTTTGTATAGGTACTGGAGCATGATTTCATTATTAACAAAGTGCTACAATAAAGAATAAAAATTGTTTCAGCCCTAAGCAAATTCAAATACACCTCTACCCCGATATAACGCGACCCGATATAACACAAATTCAGATATAACGTGGTAAAGCAGTGCTCCGGGGGGGGCGGGGGGGCACACTCCGGTGGATCAAAGCAAGTTCGATATAACGCGGTTTCACCTATAACGCGGTAAGATTTTTTGGCTCCTGAGAACAGCGTTATATCGGGGTAGAGGTGTAGCTACATTATAAACCCCTCATAAAAGAGAATATCAAATGGAAGTGGCATGGATTAACCTTGCAGTGGCAAAAACAGCAGTGGGAATTTTTCCAGGGCTTTGCAAAATTAATTTGTTATACAAAATTTTCCTGCCATAACACTCTATAGTCCGCCATCTTGACTGCAAAGAAAATGTTCTCTTTGTAAAAAAACCCGACTACACATGCACCAATTATCAGAGGCACCATACATAAAATAAAAGTTAGGCACAAAACCTTACATTTATATTTTCCAATTGTGGAAAAGCATAAATAAATGAAATGTATAGAGTTTGAGGTCCTTGTGCACATAGAACTTGGTACACTAAGAATCTATACAGCTGTTCAGAATTTAGTGGCTACAAGCTTGGCAAGAAAATGTATCAGATGAAAAGTACATTATGGGACAAATCCTGGTCCTACTGAAGTCTATGGCAAAACTCCCAAAAACTTCAGAGGGGAAAAGATTTTGTCCAAAATGCACATGTGAAAGATCTGTTTAAAGTACATCTAAAGAAATTAAAGTTTTGCCTATACAGGGACACTCAAGAAAATTAATCCAAATTATCTAAAGGTGTGATTTTAAAGTGAATAAGTTTAACTGCAGTAAACCCATGTGGGACACACTCATTCAGAAGTGAAGTGGCCTTAATTTGATTTAACCTTAATTGGCTAACTTGAATTAAATTCACCTTAATTTTGAACTCACTTTAAATTCACACATGAAGACAAGCCGTTAGATAATTGACTTCCCCATATATAAACACATTTATTGTGCATTAATGCAGGATTACGGTGACCACTTACACTTAAATTTAAATCCATGAATGATGGGTGAAAATGTTGTACCTTAAAAATACAATAGCACTATTCCAATAGGTGCATACCTAAGAAAACATAAGAATGGCCAAACTTGGTCAGATCAACGGTCCATCTAAGCCCAGTGTCCTGTCTCTGAACAGTGGCCAATGCCAGGTGCTTCAGACAGAATGAACATCAAGTGATCCATCCCGTTGCCCATTCTAGCAATCAGAGGTTAGGGACACTTCAGAGCATAGTTTTGCATCCTTGCCCATCCTGGCTAATAGCCATTGATGGACTCATCCTCCATGAATGTAGCTAGTTCTTTTTGAACCCTGTTATAGTCATGGCCTTCACAACATCCTCTGACAGAGTTCCACAGGTTGACTGTGCATTGGGTGAAGAAATACTTCCTTTTGTTTGTTTTAAATCTGCTGCCTATTAATTTCATTGGGTGACCCCTAGTTCTTGTGTTATGTGAAGGAGTAAATAACACTTCCTTATTCACTTTCTCCACACCAGTCATGGTTTCATAGACCTCTATCATATCCCCCCTTAGTCATCTCTTTTCCATGATTAAAAGTCCCAGTCTTATTAATCTCTCCTCATATGGAAGCTAATCATTTTTGTTGCCCTTTTCTGTACCTTTTCTAATCCCAATACACCTCTACCCGTATATAACGCTGTCCTCGGGAGCCAAAAAATCTTACCGCATTATAGGTGAAACCGCGTTATATATATATGCTTTGATCGTCGGAGTGCGCAGCCCCACCCCCCTGGAACACTGCTTTACCTGGTTATATCCGAATTTGTGTTATATTGGGCCGCGTTATATCGGGGTAGAGGTGTATATCTTTTTTGAGCATGGGGCGATCAGATCTGCATGCAGTATTCAAGATGCGGGTGCACCATGGATTTATAAAGAGGCATTATGATATTTTCTGTCTCATTATCTATCCCTTTCTTAATGATTCCCAACATTCTGTTAGCTTTTTTGACTGAGTAAATGTTTTCAGAGAACTATCCACAATGACTCCAAGATCTCTTTCTTGAGTTGTAACAACTAATTTAGACCCCATTATTTCATATGTAGAGTTGGGATGTTTTCCAATGTGCATTATTTTGCATTTATCAACATAAAATTTCATCTGCCATTTTGTTGCCCAGTCACCCAGTTTTCTGAGATCCCTTTGTAACTCTTCACAATTTACTTTGGACTTAACAATCTTGAGTAGTTTTGGATCATCTGCAAATTTTGCCACCTCATTGACAAGACATGACTTGCATAATTTCTGCAATGGTAAGTTTCTTTTTCTTTAAAATACATCATACTGACTGGTGTTTCTAATGCAATAGTTTGTTCAACAGAAGGCTGGTTCTCTCTAAAGAGACAATTTAAAAAACATTAAAAAACCAAATGAGCTTTATCTGTGTTGAGGAGATCCCAATAGCAGCAGCATGATTAAGTCTGAACTGAATTTTGAAGTTAAACGGCTTTAACCACCACTTTTGTTTTTGATAAAGACAAAAATGTTCATCACTGAATTTATACCATTGACTCTGGGGTATGGATCTAACTATATGAACAGTATGGAATAAATTCATTCCACATTTTTGGAGTTCAAAGCATTCCAAGAGAACTCCTTTTGAAAATTTTCCAAGGGCTGTCCAACTTTTGTCCAAATTCCCCCAGCTTAATGATGGAGAAAGTCAGAAAGCTGAAGGAACATATTTATAGATGTTCACAGCATCTTGTGCATGAGCTAGTTTTGAAATAGATCCAATAAGGAATTCATACAGATTTTTCATGATAACTGTTTTGTATTTACATTGTAGAAACTGATGATAAAAATGTTCATCACTGAAGGAAGCTTTTACATATTTAATATATTATGACCCATGTCCTAGGTTATTTCTTGAGCCGAGAGCACTGGAAGCACCTCCCCAAAGGAATCCCAAGTTCTATTATGTAGGCACCTTTTCAAAAGTTTTACTCATTGAGAACATTAAACATATATATGCACATATACACACAATTTATGTATCTCTACACACAAATATATGTGACCTCTTACACCTATTTTAGAAAGTACCACTAAGGGGTATTAATATAATATCTGAAAGGTGTTGACTTTACTGTAGTAAAACCTTATCCAGGGGTCAAGGATTCAAAGAAATTAGATGAGGAATGGAAGGTTAAATTAACTCTTATGTGTAGGGTGTGCAGAAGATTCTGTACTATTAGCAACCCATAGCAGGGCTGCATCATGTCTGGGCACTGGGGACCTGTGCATTCTGCAGAGGGTGTCGTTGGGATTGAGACATAGGTTATTAAAACAGATCTAAATTACATATAATAATAATAATAATGCTGTTAGTATGTGCCTCATGGCTAATTTCTCTTAATATAATTAAACAATTCAAAAGACAAGAGCAACCCTAGTCAGGACTGCAGCATAGTCAGTAATGTGTTCCATGCTTGTCAAATCTGAGCGAGGGCTTAACTGCACCGGTGTACTAACACACTGCAGAACAAGGCTATATTCCTCATTCTGCAAGCTAGAGAGAGCTACAATGGTTGTGTCTAGCATCCCAAATAAAGAATACCTTCTGCTTACTACCCGAGTCCTGTCTCTTCTCCATTGTCAGGGATACTACAAGGGCCATAATGCAGAAACAAATGAACAATCCTGGCGACTAGATCTAAAATTCAGCTGGACCCGGGTCTAAATAAAAACCATTTAACTTACCAAACAGAATACCAAGGGGTTACATACATTTATTTTTTTCCATGTAACAATTGATTAGTTTTGAAAAAATTCCCATTTTTAATACTTTTAATTCCACCTTTCATTTAAAAAAATCACTAAAAGGACAACCCACAAAAAATACAATCTGTATCTGCTCTATATTTACAGATAACTGGTCACTATTAAGGCACAGATTTAAAACTAACATTTTAATCTAGCAAGTCAAATATTTTGTGCATAATACAACACTGACAACACTGTATATTGCATTGTCATATTCCCTTCATGGAATTAAAAGAAGTGAGAAAAATGTTTTCCAGTGTGTGTTTTTTTTGTGTGCAGCCCTTCTGAAAATAATGTTATTACTGGGAAATTCTTCACTTTGGTAATAGATGATATAAGCACTGCTCAGCAAAAGACCACATCAACTTAATATTGTAAGAATTTCAGCTTCCAGATATAATACTATCAAACTGCATGTTATGTATTTATGAAAAAAATGAAAGAAAGTGACATGTGGAGTTTTTGCTGAAGTAAAATGTTGAAACTTAAAAAAAATTACACAAACTAAGTAGGCAAATGTCTAAGTGGATTTGCTAAAGATTTAATCTAATTTTAAAATATTATGTAAAACTAAACACACAAGTTCATATAAGACTTGATTTTCAAACCTAGGTCTTGCAAGCCCACAAGTGCTCAACTTTGAACAAGTAAGTAGTCTCATGTCAATGGGACTAATCACAAGTATAAAAATAAGCAGAAGAGTAATTATTTCCAGGATCAGCGTTTTAAGCTCTCATAGTTGTTTGATAAAGTTGAGCGTGCCTGAATTATACACAAGTATCCGATATGTTCACAGACTTTGGGCACAACTTTGTTGCTTACAGCTCTGTGCTTGCAAACTGCATTGTCCTGCAACATTAAACACTGAAAGAGTTAGCTGTTATTTTATTTGCAGTGAAAGTTATTTCACTATACACCATTAAGTGGATATGGCTGAACCCCATACTGAGCAGTTAATTTTTGCTAATTGCAACAGGTCATTTTATTACTGCTTCATCATCTAAGTCCTCAAAGCAATTACCTCTTAAAAATTCCCTTTATGTGCAAATTTCTCATAAACTGATTTTTTTCTCACCTTAGAAGATGTATACACAGAAAGTGTCAAAACTATTTCTCACCCCATTTTTGCATAAAAACCAACTACTGTAAATGGTTATTCTAATGTCTTCTGTTAAGAGCACTTGACAGTGGTTTATGTCCATCTTAAAAGGCTTGTACACTGAACATAAATAATACATTACAGTACAAGTAAGTCACAATATTTCCTAGGGGAATGCTTTTCAACAAATTAATGTTTGGAAACTTCATATTTCATTGCAGAAAAAGAGGCACTTTATGATTTCCTTCATTATATGAGAACCCTTCATCAATCCATAACAAGACATCTGAAAAGACACAGAAATAGTATTGCCAGATTTTTTGGACTTTCACAGTATGAGAATGCAATAGTTAGCTCTAGCCATTTATAACATGGACTCTTTGTTGAATATAACTTCTTTCAAAAATAGTTCATCTTGGAGTTTTAAACACTTCCATAGCTGACAATCACAAATCTAAATTAAACAAAAGAGATGCTATTACAGCTATTTCATGTATGTTGCTTAATTGCTGCATGCATAGTCATTTAAGTAATATGCTTCACATAATAAATGGCAACAGTGCTGTCTTGTCAAATTAGATTAGTTGTCTGTTTAATCAAACTGGTGGCCCAAAGCTCTAGTTTGATGAATGCCTTTCATTTTCTACCATAAATATTTAGTAGATCTCAGTTTAAACTGATGCATATTGTAAGGTGTATAGAATCTAAAAAGAAAAGTTTTATATAAATAAATGTCCTTTAGTGGCAGTATACTAAAAATAGCCCTTTGATTTGAAAGAACCATTAAAATCAGTTTTAGCATTACAGGCAGCAGTTAAATATGATGACTGCAAAGGGTTAATATTGCAAGGTCCATTTTGGTCTTTCATTGCATCTGTTACAGTGAACAAGTTTCATTGTAAGCAGATCTAGGCTGCTTCATAAAGAGATAATAGGACTGGTCCACTTGCAAGTGGTTTGATTTTGGAACTTTTCCTCAGATATTTATATATATATAAAAAAAATCTACATAAAGACGGATTCCTAGTACCATTATAGTGAGGAGATTTGACTATTGCAGGATCACCTGACAAAATTTGATTAGTGCCAATACAATATTTTATATGGAAATGAAAGAGAAAAATAATTCCCACAGGATAAGAAAACAGAACATGTAAAGTGCAGAAAGACCTCAATAATTATTTTAAGCAGTACCAGAAAATTCCATCTTGATAAAACCAAAAGTTATGCTCTCTGGCATCCCAGCTCTTCGTCTTTCCTTCATTCAACAAAGTAAAAATTCAGTGCATACATTATAGTTATAGGTAATAAAATACTAAACAAAGAACCCTATATTATTATTGCAAATGCTGTCCAATCTACAAGAGTAAAACATAATCCACATTTGGTGTTCTGAAAAATGACAGACAAGTGTCTTCTCTCTCTCTCTCTCGCTCTCTTTTTTTTTTTTTTTTTTGGCACAAGTACTTGTGCAGACAAAATGCTTTGGTCCTTGATACCCAAACTCCCAAAGTGCAGAGGGTGGTGTGCAGTGAAAGCTGTCCACAGGATTGGCAAGTCCATCTTTACAATTCACTTTGTGAGCCACAATTTAGTGCTACCAGCGACCACTGACACTAGCAATGTCCGAGTGATACTGACGTGGCAGTCTTCCACTAGCTCCACCTTCCAGGAATGAGGCACGTACATTTGATGGATCAAATAGCTTTCTTCGGTTTTTATTCAGTTCTACATGGAAAACAGCACATTTGGATTTTAATATTGGGAGCTGATTCAGGAGCAAAACTACTCTAAATAATGCAATTTCATTATAACATTAGAAGTGGGGAACCATAGCTCCAACTGAAAACTGCAAAGGGAGTTTAGAGAAGTAGACATTACCCGAGTTGGTATTTGGTCAGGACACTAAGAATGCCGTGAAATGCTATCAAGAATTATTGTTCAGGCTAAACACAGGGTAATTGTCATAATTTGCTGGAATTCTGAATTCAATGATGGTGCCACGCTAGTGCTTTGATGCAGCGGAGGGCCATATTTATTTCCGGGCAGGTGAAGTTTGAAATTAATCCTCTTATTTGAGGGGTTTCTAGGATTAAACATAATGCCTCAAGAGATAATATTTTGGCAAAATCATTTGTACACAAATTCTAAACAAAAAGGCAAAACCATCCTAAAAATGATGAAATGATCCCAGCTGGAGTGCTTAAAAAATCCTGTTCAAAGCCTGCAAATTCTTCACAAAAAGGAATGCATTATGTGCACATCACATACTGAGCAGCATTGTGCACATTATATAATCTGATGTGACAGAGCATGATGTATACTAACTATAAATAACTGAAGTTGGAAAAAATTATTTCCCCAAAGCACATTGGTTATTTTTTAACACATTAGTAATGTTTTTATAATAAGGACCTGCCACCTCCAATATAGGGGCCATTATTCAGATCTATGTATAAACTTCTCAGTAGAGTCATCACTCATACAAAGCACTTTTTCCAGTCCCTTGTTATAGTGAACAATTTTCTCCATTACAGGTATAATCTTTGCTGCCAGTGATTCAGACAGACTTTTGATGAGTTCTACTGTTCATCTGAATACATTATTCGTTTACCCTCTTTAAGCCATAATTTGAAAGGCATTCATGAATGACATCAGCAAATTAAAAAAAAAAAAATCTGTTATGCTCCACAAAATATCAGAAGAAAGCTTACAATCTTGAATGTAAAAAGATTCACCGCCAAGGAAAACAGGAATCTCAAACATAATTCTATGTAAAATATGAAATTAAATCTTATGCCATTCCAGTCTCTTGAACAAGTTCAAGTTGGTCATTGCTATCCTGTTGTGTATCTTCAAGAGTGGTACTTTGATTTTCCTTTATTGTAGTATGATATAAGACATTTTAATTACAGCTGGTTGGAAAAAAAAATCCGACAAACCATTTTTTCATCAGAATTTGTCCATTGGTTGCAATGGAAATGTTCCGCACAGATTGTTCAACTCAGCTGAAGTTCCTACAGACATTAGGACAGGCCTGTCAGGCAGGTTTCCATCGCATACCTGCCTGTTTACCTACCAGCTCACTTTCCTGGCTCCTCAGCAGCCAGCCTGGTGAGCTGATAGGGAGATGAGAGCATGGAAGTCTTGGCTCTCAATCTTACTGCTGCTTGGTAAGCAGAGTTCCCAGGATCCCCAGGTTCAGGACGGTGTGCCAGACGGACTGCCTTGGAGTCAGTGTTCCCAAGCTCTATTCCCTTTTACAGGGAATTTTGAAAATTTTCGTTGAAAACCGTTGCAAAATGGAATTGCCTTTCTCTGCTCAGCTCTAATTTTAATAGTACAATACAACACTATGCAGCTAGAATCCCATTTGTTGTGCGGAAGCTATACAGTCCTTACAGTGTCTCCAAATTTAAAAACTGCCTTTTTATTACAAGGAGTGGCTGGTAAGATGTGCTCTCTGTGGGTCAGATTGTCTGTCCGATACAGTTCCTTTGAGCTGCTCTAATGACTATGCAAACCAAAACAATTCAACTGAGCAAGGGAAAAAGTACAGTATGACATTTATAATCATGTATATGTTAAATGCTTTTTATTCACCTGAGATTGCAAGCAGCATTTTCCGTCTGGCACCAAAAGTAGTAATTCCTAGCTCTTTCAAATCTTGATCTGTGAGAGTAAGGAAGGTCTGAAGGTCAATCTATGAACAAAAACAAAGCAAATTAAAATGGGTAATTTACACAACATACAAATCCACAGTCTATAGGCAACCATTTTCTTCCTGTATTGAGAATTACTCCCCACAAACTATTAGCCATAAGTGTGGTGCTGGTAGCTTCTAAAAAAAAAGTTACCTTTAACTTTTTTCTTTACATTTATTCTACAAACTCATTTTATTATGCCTATAACACCAACAATTACCAAATTCCAATCAATGACAGTTGGTTAAAATTAAAATGGCAGAAAAATGAGGAAAAAAGGGAAATAGATATCAGAAATGTCATATATGCAGCAACCCTTGACTACACAGATAACTGCATGTTTTAGTACTATGTATTTAAGACAAATAGAGACTAAAAAGTAAAGGTATCATTTTTACAGAAGCATGTAAGATTATGTTGATTAAATGATACTTAATTGCACACATAAGAGTCTATTTTCCCAAATTACTGTAAATGTAAATGGGAATCTCAGATCCAATCATCAATCTCTATAGAAGGAAAGTTTATTTCAAACAGAGTTATTAATATTAACAGCAATAAATCACAACAGAATGTGGGCTAGCAGACCATTGGTGAGTGCCCCCTTTAAGTGAATTCAAGGACATAGCCTTTCACAACACACCTTGTGTGTGCACAAATATCCTTATTAACAAACACCATGCTTAAGTTCAATGTTATTAATATGGCAAGATAATTTAGTGGAAACCTGTTTAGTTAGGTCTACTAAGGATTGAGAATGGTCATTTCTAAATTGAAGGACTGAATAGCTTTGATAGAATTGTCAGTGAAAATACTGCAGCTAGGAGAGACAGTGATTTCACTCAGGAAGTACACAAAGGGTTGTAAAATGCCTCTTAAAAAGACTGACCTCTTGTTGTTGGAATACATCAGTGTATTTGCCCAAACCAAGTTTACTGAACAGCTCAGGCAGATCAGACCCCTTAAACAAACTGTTCAGGTTACAGCCATTGCTTCCTGTCAGCGAGGAAATGCAATCCATGTAATTACTGCTGCTGAGATAATGTTCAGCTGAAAGGCAAAAAGGATGTACACTTGACGTTTCAATCACTTCAAACAGCATGTTTTAATTAAATGTTTTAATCACCAAATTACCTCAAATTCTATTGTTAGGTGGAATATTCCATTCAGTTGTTTAGTAGAACAGCAATCTGTAGAAACCAGCTGAATTTCAAATGAACTTTTTGTTAATTAAACTCTAGTGGCCATTTTCAGTATATATCTTGTTATTGATTAGGGCATGTAGGAGAATGAAAAGGACACAGAAATGTATTTTAAAGCACATTTAAGGCTTTAAGGATTAAGCTGTATTTAAGGCTGCACCTTAATTAACTTTAATGGGGATGGGGCTCAGAGCTTAATATACACAAAGGCGAAGAGACAATCAGGTCTCTATTCCCCCTCCCGCCCCCGTCTATCCAATGCTGGAGAAGACAACTGCACATGCGCCTCTTCCCTGCCTCCACAGCCCCCCATACAAATGTAAGCAGCTCCTTTAGGTTTTGTTGGGGATGGAATCCTGGGGTTTCTTCTGCGAAAGATAGCCAGGTGATCTAGCAACTACGCCACTTTTTGTTTGTTTGTTAAAATAGTAGATCTGGGAATATTTGGACTACCTGAATAAATATCACATTCCCCAAAACTACATTAAAAATCCATGAAGGTTGCCAAGTCAAGCACTCAAAACTTAGTAAATACCACAATTACAGTTGTACAAACTTAATTTGGTCCCCTTTGTGTACAAGAATTAGGATATAGTCTTTACACGTTAACATGCCATTTTTTCTACTCAGTGCACAGAATGGTCAGCTTTTCAGTATTTCTTTTTGCACTCATTACACAGCATGTGGTCTCACGGTATATAGTTATTTACTGCACACCATCCAAATCCTGCACTAAATGCAGAATTATTAATTTCTACCTTGGCTTTTCTAGGATGGCTTCATCATAGCATCTTAGTGCTTTACAGACATTACCCTCAGAGGAGGTGATTATATTATTCTCATTTTACACACAAGAAACAGGTGATGAAGACCCAAAGTGTCAACTATTTTTGCGTGCCAAATTTGAGGAGCCTAGTGCCTGATTTTTCAGCACAATTTATAGTACTTTAAATGTTCAAAACACAGCTCCCATCAACTTTAGCTGCTGCTGTGAATCTGCAAATCAGAGCCCCAGGTGTCTCAAACTCGATACCCAGAAAATAATAAAGACAAAATGGCCACATGCAGAAAATTGGGCAAGTCATGTAAACCAGAATTTTTACATTGCCACTTTGTCTCTCTCATTTTCTGCCTATCCAATCTGAGACACCTGAAATCTGATTTGCAGACATGCTGAGCACTCGTAACTGCAACTAAAGTTGATTGGAGCTGCGTTCTGAACATGTGTAATAAAAATTCCATCACGTGGAACTATATTGACCCCCATATGGGTCATGAGCAGGGAGACCCACAGCATAGTCCTCTGCCACTTGAGCTGATAAGAGTAACAGGAAGCAGTAGAAGGCTGTTATCTTCTATGTGGGCCTCCTACTAGAGGACGATGAGACACATTGCTAGTGGCTTTCACAGCTATTTGCTAGATAGCAGAGGAATAATGAGACTCAAGAATCCTTTGTTCAATTGTAGGTTCTGTAGGGAATATATTAGTAATTATAGATCCTTCTGCCCAGGCCCTGCAGTACCTTCCTGGTTCTCTTCTGCTCTTACTTCCTTACCTACTGCTTCTTCCACACCCTGCTCCTGTCCATGGCCCCCACTATCCTGTCTCCGCTTACAGCTTCTATCCCCTCCCCTGCACCAACTTGGCTCCTGCCTCTATTCATCCCCTATGCGCCTGCCTCTTTTAGTCTCTCACTTCCTACAGCTCCTGAGGCAGACACCCGGCATGGAGAATTTCAGCCAGAACAATTTAAATTTGGCAAAGTTATAAACAATTGAAAACAAGGTCCATTAGTACCAGTGTTGCCTGTAACAAAGGAGCTGGATCCATGTGATGCACACCCTAGCACATAGCAGTTTAGCTCACAGGCAAAGTGTGCAATCACATCCCCTTGCATTACCATAGTTATTTTTATATGCCATTAATTTCACTGAGCTGTTATCTCCGGAGGCCATAGGCCCTGCCCCCAGGGCTGATGTCAGAGTGAGGAGAGCGAAATGAAATGACTCCCTCAGCTAGACTGGCTGCTGCCTCCTGAAGACTTACCTGGCTATAAAAAGTAGAACGCTTTAGCGCTCAGTGATTCTTTGTTTTCTTATCTACTGAACTGTGAATGTATTTTAGAAAAGGTTAGTTGGAACCTTAGATAATTTTACTAGATGGGCCCAAGTTTTTGAAGAAGATTTGTACAATGTGTCAAAATTCTTAAATTCTACTAGTAAAAGTGAAGAATTGAAATTATATTTCAAGTTTGTAGATCTCAAACAGCACAATCGAGTACACACAGTTATTGTACCCTTTTCGTCACCTATTGACCATAAAAGGCTTATCAGCCAAGTGTGGGGAAGAAAGGATATTTTTTTAAATCAAAACAAAAAGTACATTTTTGCAGATGTTTCAGGCTCTGAGAAAGAAGCTACGGCTTCTATGGACTGAGCAGCTTTTAGACTTAAAGGTTACTGTCTTATTAAAGTTTAAGAAAGGATTAAAATGCATTTATTTTATCATTCTGATTACACTAGGACCTCCCTGTGTAAACAACTGACTTCAAGACACTAGGTGAGCTTGATACCAAAGATAGACTATTAAGCTCATTTTTATTATGTTCACCGTAGAAATACCATATGCAGTAATTCATCACTGCGTTAATACCATGTAAATGATTACAAGTGCTAGGAAAGAGCAACAACATTTCCTTCTTTAAGTTAAACTATTTTCTCTAAAAACGTGCAATTCTTACTGAATGTATTACCAAATAAACCTGGGATTTAGGCCTTTTAGCACTGATTAAGGAAAACCATAATACAAAAAATAATTAAAACAAAAAACAGCAGAATATTTCTGTCCTCATCCACCCCGACCCCAACAGTAATGAAATTTACTATAGGGTTACCATATTTCCACAAGCAAAAAAAGAGGACACTGGGGGGGG